ATTTAACAAGAATTTTTATAAAATAAAAGACTCTTTAAGAAAGCTTTCTACAAATGAAATAAACCTGGTTGATTTTCATTTGACTTCCACGTGCTTTAAGGCAATTTGTGAAAATCGTTCGACTCCCTGTAGAAAAGCCTGCGAGGCGAGCCGATGGTGGCGATCGTCCCATTAGGTCGATAAACACGGCCAGGGGTCATGTTTTTACGAAGGAAGCCATCGGCAACTAACCGCCCCGTCATCAAAATGTCGATGAGGCCGAGCTTGTGAGACTGCCCCAGGACACCGAGTGCTATTTCGATAGGAAATAATCTCGCTTCCTCGTAATTACGGTCGATTAATCAAAAACCGGCGCGTGAAAGTGCTGGCTCGCGGACGGGGCAATCGAGCCGAATCCAAGGGGCGAGATGTTGGAGGAGGCAACGACGATATTCGGACGGATGATCGGGCACGAGGGAGAGAGCCGCGCCGCTGTTCTCGGCCCTGACACTGTCCTTGTCGAAGGCAGAGCCTCGAGGTAGAGCCGTGGCGGTGATCGGCTAGAGGCGGGTTCGTGGACTGGGGAGAGGCCGTCGTCGCGACGCACTTCCAGCACGTGCTGCACTCACGCGGATGCGGATCGATCAAGCGGTCATGGCGAGGTGACGCGGGTCATCCGCTTCGCTGATGCTCGTCGATTTTATCCGGTGTCCCCACCCCCCTTCCCGCGATTCGCGAATGCGCTCGGACGGCACGCGCGACGACGAGTCCACCGGCTCGCGTGCGCCGTCAAATGATCAATTGTGTGCGTGCGAGCGCTATTTCTTGTCCCCGTCGTGATCATGGGCGTCGCCTGTCGCCAGCCTTTTAATTTTTTACACTAGTGACATTCGCCGAGCTCCTAGTAGTGGCCTTCCTTCCTTCCATTCCATCTTGCAATCTTCCGGCTTGTTTTTCGCTTCTCTCTCTCTCTCTCTCTCTCTCTCTCTCTATTTCCCCTCTCTTCTACATAGCATTCACCACTCACGTATCTCTCGCTCGTCCCTTCACTCTATCTACAGACGTATAATATCGGTAAAATTTAGTTAATCTATTCTTCATAGGCCAACTCACCATGAGACTTTTTACTTTCGTTAAGTTGCATTTTCGAAAGTCGAAGAACACGGGCATTAATACTTTTATGAAGACAGCATATTACTTAATATTTCGTTATGCTGTATAATGAAAGGGATCTTTCAATCCCACACACTCGCAGTAGTTTCATTTTATTTCATTTCACGGGGGAGAAAAAAAGAAAGAAGAAGAAGATGATGATGATGATGATGATGATGAAAAAACGTAATGAATTTGAAACTTACGGAAAATATTGTCGATGTAAATAATAAATGCATTTGTAATGTATATGTTTAAAGCGATTGATAGAAATTTTTTCTTAGCTGAAATAGCAAAATTCTTTTCATTGAATATTAACATTGTAGTTGCAATTGCGCAGAAAATGAATAGCAATTAAAATATTTATATATGACTAATGTAAAATCAAATGTACTTTCTAATTATGCTACACCGTTATACGTACAATAAATGATATACGTATATACAAATTCATAATAAGTAATTTTGAAAATATTATTATTAAAAAATACATTTAAATCAATGCCAATTTTAATAAATTAAAAAACTTGAAATTACCGATAAAAGAAACTGCAGATATAAATCGAAATTACGAATAAACTTCACTTTTTGTAAGGTTTGATATACTTATTATTATTATTATTATTATTATTATTATTATTATTATTTTCTGATGTTTTTTTCTACGCGGTTTTCTTTTCTTACGAGTTATTGAATTAAATTTCATTTCAATGACTTTTCGCATACGCTCTGCATCTCTAAAGCGAGGCACTCGACAAACTAGAACGCGTAAAATCAGCTTTTTGCCTCAATTTTTACCAGCAGATAAGACGTTTACCGATTACCGAGAATATTTCCCAAAGCATGAATAAAACATATATTTAAGAACATATGACGACAATAGTCAGTATTTCTACGGCAATCGAGCTTTGATTTCTATATGCGAGTCATTCAAGTATTATTCACCATATACCTTTACTTTAAGCGAATAATCATTCAAGCGAGATATCAATCGATTCATTCAAATTTCATTTATTTCCAAATGAAATTTACTTACAAACTTAAGAAGCTCGAAGATAATGATAAACGAAAAGGGCCATATACCGTTCGGCCGATCGTAGACACGCAATTTTCAATCTCCATACAGAGAACATTAATAATATTGAAAATGAAAATTGGAAAATTGAGAATCCCTTATGCGGCCTTCGATATATTAAACTAAAATCCAATGTAATGAACGCTATATAACTAACGAAACGGAGAAAGATGGAGAATCGCTATTCTAATCCAACTAAAATTCGAAACTGCCAACATTCCCGTAACTAAGATCGTTGCAAGCAATGCACTCTTGAAAGTGCAATAAAAATTAACGCCATTCGCTCCAGCGTCCTACGCTGAATCACGATAACGTTTGCCGCGAAGCCAGCGTCACGTCCAGGTCGCGCTGCACAAAGAAGCCAGGCCTGCCGTGACTCACGACAATCTTGAAAAAGTCCTAAAATTTGCGGCGGAGGAGATATGGGGCCGGTAAAGCAGAGATTTCCTATGCCGGCCTGCCCTTTACGCGATTCCTAACGAGATTCATGCATCGTGACCGGCGGTGCTTTCGCCGCCGATGAGCGACGACGTCTGGTCAATAAAAGTGGGCCAACGCGAGGCGTCGCGTGCGTTCGACGCCGGTCTTCTCTTCTCCTCGTGTCCCCCTTTTCCCAAGCAGCCGTGAAAGCTTTCTCCTTCTCTCGCTCCCGCCCGCCATTCGCTTTCGTCGGCTTCGCGGTGGCTGTCGACGAAACTGTAAATCGATTCGCGATATTGCATTGACCTATAAATAGCCATCGCGAGTATAATTAACACCCGCGTGTCTTTTATCCTCTTTGCTTTTTCGTATGCTGCTGTCTTCGTGCCCCTTTTTGCGCGCCCTTTTGTCGTGCCCGTTAGACGACGGGATGCCGTTTGATAAAACTTTTGCATCGAGGTCAGCGTATTCGCTAGCGTACTAGCCTATCAAGGACGTACCGATGTAAGTGGGACCGCAAGGTTAATGGGATTGCGCTTATGATTTATCGTTATTAGGATTGTTGTTGATATAAACATACTCGCAAGTTTGTTTAATCGACGTGTGGCTGGTTTTTATGCGATGTACCTAAGCCGATTTATGTGCATGGTGGAGTGATGGTTGATGGTAATGCGCTGACAGTTCAATGATCGAACTCTTGAATTGCGGTTAATTAGCCGTTGGTCTCATAAAATACACGATGCACATTGTATAAAAATTGCCTCAACATTGATTGTCACAAAAATGTAATCATTTATTTGCAAATGCCTCATTCGAATGTTGATTAAAACGCGTTACACTGGTCGCAAACACATAAACTTGTTTATAATTATTATCTCTCTAGTGGTTAGAAATATTATAATTTTAATTTTCTCCAATCTAATATTTGCACATGTACTTTCATGCGGTTGCTTTCGGTACGAATTTGATTATATGGTAAATTTTTTCCTTTATTCGATCGACAAAAAGATAGAAAACTAGAATATACGTAGCTTTCAGCATTGATGCAAATGTTGCACAATTCTCTTGCTCACTATCAAAATATTCTCGCACAAAGGTGGTACATAAATGGAATTTGCCATAAACAATCGTCCTTTGTTAAAATCGAAGGGAATCGCTGTATTTTGGACAAATTTCACTACCAACAGTCCTCTATGCGAAAAAGATTTCAATTTTATTATTTACAATTTTCTATCTATTCGTATTTACCAATACCTTGCTATATTTATAAAAACAATATTAAACATCGTATATTGTGAAATTTCTCAGTACTCTCGTCCAATCGTACTCTTTGATTTGTTTATATAAAAATCACTGAAAATTGGATGGCATAAATTATTGTAAAAAAAGTATTTGCTCGATCAGTATTTTTGCTACGAATAATAAAATATATTTTATTATTAAAATGAATTTCTCGTAATAGATAATAATATATTCATCTGTTCATAAAAGTGGTTTTAACATAAAACCTTTAATATAATAAACTGCTTATATAGTTAATCATTATATAAGCGAAAACTTGTTTATACTTAGGTAAACATATTGACAATAGTTCTAATGTATTTCGTAAAATAGATGAAAATTTTTATACGCCATCAGTATATGTTTATTAGTATACAAAATACTCTTGAGTATATATGTATATGTGTTAGTATCTTGTGGCAATATAATCGGTAATAAAGTTTTACAAATGTATTAAAATACTAATTAATTCTCTAATTGACTGTCTTAATTAAACGTTGTTCCATTGTACAGCTAAGTGAAATAAATACACCTTCAATTACTTCCTAGTTTTTATGAAATTTTATTTGCACGATCGTGTCCGGTAAAAGCGTCCTCGATATTTTATTGAAAAATCTGACTTTACATGCTTAAATTGTAAGAGAGAACTAAACACTCTAATGATGTAATACATAAAATACAAGGATAATGCAAGTGCTATTTATCGTCGAGAAATTGTAATATGAAAAGCCTTCGATTCATTAGCAAATATTAAATATTAATATTCGTATTGGGCATTTGAAAAGAAAAAAAAAAAAATTTAAATCAGAGATAATTTTAAAATGCCGTTGTTGACATAAACTTCGATTGCTAAGATATTCATCGACGCTATTGAGAAACTTACGACTACGTAACTGCACTTTAACTGCGCTAATTAACCAGCATTCGATTGCACATTATCCAATCTTGTGCTTTTACTAAACGTCCGCTAAATAGGGAATGCATTACGAAAACAATCCGAGAATAAAAAAAAAAGGCCAGTCAGGGTGAGCGCCGCTAACTAACCCTGATCAATTGAGGCGCTGACTAATAGTCATTGTTCATTGTAACTTCTCTCGATTGTTCGCAGTGAAGGGTCATCGGAGCTGCCGTGGATGAGTGCGAGGGGCCCCGGGCGGCTCGGTCGTACGTCCGGCTGGCGGGGGAGACGGAGCCGGAGTCAGCGTCCGGGCGTCGCCCGCGTGGCCCGCTGCCCGGGGAGGTGACCACATGGACGCCGATCTCGGGAGCGACTGCCCCAGCCCCAGCAAGCAGCCCCTTATTGAATCGACGAAGTCCGAGAGGCAGCCGGCACGGCCGCCTCGGCAGCATCGCCAACCCTTGGGGCCTACCCTCGGCCCCCCCAGACTCCGTTCACGACCGCGGCAACAATGTCGCGCAGCGCCGCCACTCGCCCACAGCAAGGTCAGTACTACTATCCCAATCATCCCCACTATCGTCAATACCATCTCCTAAGACTTGGCTGCATTCTCAGTGATAAGCGACTTTCCCCACCCCTTACCCAATAATCGTAACCGAGGATTAATTGCTGATGCGTTAAGTGAGAATTAGGCCTGCTTGTAACAAGGTACGACCATACCAATCGAATCGCCTCTAATGTGAATATCTCTAACGGGAAAAGATATGCACGAGTCGAGTAATGGGTGAAATCCTTGTGAAATGTATAAATATGCGGTGGAAAAGTGGAAAAAAGTTTTCCAGCTAAGCGATCATACGCACCCTATCCAAAATTTTACGCCCAATTCTTACGAAAACTTCTTGCCTAAAATTCGTACGTATATAGTGTACGCATAATGGTTTGAGAAACTTTTTATAAGATCCTCCCAGCAACTTTGCGCATTTCTTGCCTTTGAAGTATTAGTTCAAACTTAGTTCACTTAGAAGTGTTCGAGATAGTTGCGCCTCTCGCCTCTCGATTGGCCTATTTCGCCAAAGTCACTCAAAACTCACTGCTAAGACATTTCCAGGAATTTAGCAGACACTAAATATAAGCAATTGTGAATTATCCTGCTTGGATAATATTTTTTTTTCTTATGAAATTAAGCACCTAATACAATAATGTGGAACAGAAGAAAGAAAAATTCTCAAGGCGGACGAAGGGCAGTGTGTAATTTAATTTAAGGTAGATTATGACAAGTGAGTTTTCCGTAATGGAAATTGACACAATTATTGTAAATTAAGTAGGTAATAAATATTATCGTTGAAAATGAAATTACACAATTGAAAGTTTGTGCCGAAATTAAAGTTAAAAAGGACAGGATTTAATTAATGTCCGACGACATTTAAATTACTCGGTATTATGAAACGAAGCATAAATATGTTACTCTAGAAAATATCGATGTTTTGTTTTTTTTTGTTTTGTTTTTTGTTTTTTGTTTTTTTTTTTTGTTTTGTTTTGTACAAGGGGTTTTAAATGTATCGATCTACTTGATAAATACTCGAAAATACGTTTCATACGTATATCGAATATGGCGTGAAAAAAAATTACACCATCAAACGGCAAATGTTTAGGTTGCAATCATCATTAAGGAGCTTTCATAATTAAAAAGCAATAATGGAAAAGTAAATATCGCCATAGTCCTAAATAAATATGATGAATTTGTTGATCGTAAATTTTATAATATGAAGAATAAGCGCGGTTCTAGTTACTTGAACGATCAATTAAGCTAGCGACCGACGCTACATTTTTATCTCCGACTTTGCTGTTTTCTAATGTTCTGCAACAGCAGGATGTTCTTCCAACTGTCGTCGCGTCGCTCAAATGTCGTCGATCGCCCGCGGTAATTGGCTTTTTATTCAACTTTGCTCGCGGCTATTACGCTATTACGTAAATGCGATCGTTTCCTAAAAAGTCAGAGCTCGTTTATGTATATGGCAGACGTTTTGTTGACGACGATATTTAAGAATATTAATATGCCCATACACAATGCACATCGCCATTATCAATGTTTCCGAAGCATCGTTTCTGCAGTGTGTATTAACTAAACAGTGAATTAACATTTTTTAAAAATATTTTTATAATGCTTGTCCGAGCATATTTATATTAGGCTTGCAAACATAAATGTGTAATTGTAAATAGGCGCTTCGTTCGAAAATGTAGAGATGTTAATTTGAGTAGAAGAAAAACAGTAATAGTGGCAATAATGATAACAGTGATAATGATAATGATAATGATAATGATAAATAGTGTAATAAGTCAGTTGGATTAGTTTTCTTGCGCAAACAGTGGGAAATTGCTCGGGCGTGTAAACTTAGTAATGCTCGTCAAGTCGCAGGCAACTATGAATGAAAGGAAAATGTTAAATATATTAAAATGCTAAATTGTCTGCTGTGAGATAAGACAAGATGATAAGGAAAAACGTAACTCATCGTGTCTATGTATGCGCAGCGTTACTCCTGATAAATGGGGGTAAGTCGTTGGATGGCGAGAACGGATATTCCTCCTTTGGGACTACTGAAGTAGATCCCGAATTTGAGTTTGAGATGATGGGTAGCGCGAGCTTTAAAAGAAGCAGCGAAATAAAAGTTGGGAATGAAAGTAATCGGTGAGCGGTGGAATGTAGCTCGTATGAAGCAACCAGAGGCAGCGCGACGAGGTAGTCAATGTCGGTCCCTGTACGAGCGGCCCCTTGGTGCAAACGGCTAGCGACGCAGCGCGACGTCCCGACGAATCAAGCTTCGGTGGTGGGCTATCGGCCGACGTCGGGACGTCGCAGGGGCGCTGTCCGCGGCGTCGGCGCGCGCACTCGGCGGCCCCCTGTAGTTCCCTAACATTTGGGCTGCTTCTGATGTTGGTGGTGGTGGCGGCGGCGGCTTTGGGGGGTACGGGGGTGGGCGCGGTAGCCGGGACAGTGTGTGTCGGCGCCTCATAGTCCTCGCGGGGCCGCAGCTCGGTGCACGCAGCTACGTTGGAAGGGACACGTAAGAGTAGTCGCGGGCAGAGCGCCAAACCGCGCCGGGGGCCTGTATGGCGAGTGGCTACCCGGAGTCGACGACAACGACGACGAAGACGCCTCAGCTGCTTCAGCTGCTGTTTGCGGCTTGTCGAGGAGTCGCTCGGTCATTTCCCTGGGGCGCGAGGCGGTGAGTTTACCAGCTATATCGTTCTCGCTTTCCCTCTCTCTCTCTCTCTCTCTCTCGCTGTCTATCTCAATATCTCTATCATTCCATTTGTTCTCTCTATCTCACCTCCTCCCCCCGTCCCTAAATCTCGCTCTCTCTCTCTCGACCGTTGCCTGAACTTTCAGCGGCCTTGGGGCGGCGAGAGGGTGCGCCGATGGGGCGGAGGAGATGGGCACCGCGAAGAAGCGTCCTATCGATTGCGCCGCCTCGAAAGCTCTTTCCTCGCGTCGCTTCCCTTCTATCTCACACTCTCCCTCTTTCTCTCTCTCTCTCTCTCTCTCTCTCTCTCTCTCTCTCTCTCTCTCTCTCTCTCTCTTTGGCTTTGTCGCCGTTTCCCCCGCCCGTCGTGTGGCCGCTATTATAGCCTCGGTACCCGTGCAAAGGTATAGAGATCCCCTCCGGTCTCCTGTGCCTCCTCCTCTTCCCCTTTCGTTTACCAATCACAATTCGTCTGCACCGAGTATTGAGAAAAAGTCCATGCGCCTGGCTAGATATGGCTTCCGGTCTCGCGCCGGATCCCCGTGCGCGGAGCGACAATGGTTTTTGTGTGCGTGGGCGCGTGTCGACGATCGCGCACCGACCGATGCATTATTTGCCTCTGCATCTCTAGTCGTCTCTCCTCGTCTCGCTTTGCCCGTATTAGCTTTGAAATGGTATAGGATGATTATTGAGAACATTTTAAAGTAACGTCCGCATGCGTGAGATGTCGGATACTCATTTATTTTGCAATTGTCATAATAGTTCATATTGTCAAAAGGGAGAAATAAGCGATTATTTACTGTAACCTCCTTTCTGGCCAACAAAAAAGGAACACAATGTTACACTATCATGTATTTCTGGAATGAGATGTCGGTATAAAGTAGTACTGACATAATATAATATTTGGTATAACGCTTCGAATTAGAGATAGATATTTAAAATCACTTGAGAACTATGTTTTATTATAAAAGGTTCTGTTTTTTCCTTTAGCGATAGCCTACATAGTTCCTGAATTATCATAATTTCAAAACGCACATTTATTTCATGAGTATCTTAATGCGTGCCGTTACAATTATATCGATTTTTTTTGTTTTAGTATGTAGTAAATACGCAAGAGAGTGTTTTGTTTTTGTTTTTGAATAAAAAGTATTTGGTATGCTATTTCAGAGTGTTTTTAACTTAGGTCTTGTAAGTGCAGTCAAATGGTATATTTATAACCTTAAAGTTTTCTAGTGTGACTAAAATATTCTGAAAATTATTTTAATTCTATATTTTGTAAATGGTTTGTCTTTTTATCATGTGATAAGATAAAATTTTTATTCAACCTGTAAGCATTATTTTTCTTTTAAAACAAGATACGTCAGCAATTTCGCTAGAAAGAATTGCTTTTATTCTAATGAATTTATCTCCGGGGACTAAGTGTAGTTTCCATCATTTATCTACGGAGAAACTGTTTACTTGTACAGATTGCGCATTGCTTTAAATATAGAATATGAAGTATACGAAAAAATTTAAAGGAAAGGATTGAACGAACGCAAAATATTCGAGGCTCAAAAATATTTGTACACTTTTTTAACTTTTAAATGTGATAAATAATATTAATGGTTATGTTGTTTGTATTTTAATAATAAATATTTCTCTGGATCATTTGGTAAATCATTGTATTTATAAATAATAGCAACTTATTGAACTTGATACGTATTATTGTGCCAGCCAATTATAACGATCAAGCAATATAGTTCGTTCATAACAAAACTCATCAACGTTTTAATATGAGTGTTTTTGATGAAATACTTTATTTTTATTCATAATCGCTCGAAAACTTGACTTTTATCAAAATATAATTCATATATTAGTATCTGTCTCAACCACTGCCCTATAATAATAAAAGATTATATGTAAACTTAAAACAAATATTGCATTTGATCAAGCTTTTTTCTTTTTATTTTTCTCATCAATTGTAATAGTTTGAAAATCTTTCATAAATCCTATGTAGTCTTTATATCTTGATATTTCGGATAATATGTGCTAACAGCTCCAAACTTTTAACGAGTTTTAATTAAATTTCTGCCATTTACAATTTGTTTAAATATTTTAAATTTTGGCGAGATGATGTTACGACTCGTTAACGTCTGTCTAAATTTATACACAAAATCCAATAAAAGACGAAGAAGTGTGCACCCCAAGCACCTGCGCTCACCCATATTCACAAACACATCCCATTGAAAAATCTTTCACCAACAGTTGCCGAAGTTGCGGTAGCAACCGAATCGCATTTAAAGAAAAGAAACGAAATACAGAAA